AATAATAATGTATACAAGTATACAATTGCATACAATTAATCTTTTGGATCTCCTCCTAGTTAGACACCATGTTTTTCTCATGCACAACATATGCATGTATAATAAGTTCTATCTTAAAGCGAAACAAACACAAAGTGTTAGCAATTTAAAAAAAGAATAATACACGCTTGTGTAGTGTACATATAAAATACAATTTGGGATAAAGAGGCAAAAAAGAGAATTTTTAAATTATGTCACGTTTTCCTAAAAAATATGATAAATCTATACGTACATACATAATATGTATTTAATATTAATGTGGAAATATTAATATTGCACGTACAGCTTTTCTATATTTTATTATTTCCCGTTCATATTTTTATTTCACTTGTATAATATTAAGAATAACTATTGTATATACACTTGCAGCTTACATACATGTATAATTTTATAATTTAAAATTAATATAAAAAATATTAAAATTTTTTATAATTATTACAAAAATTACAATTTAACAAATTAATGTGTAATAATTAAATTCCCAAAATGATCATTAATAAGAAAAACAAAATATGGAAAAACATAGCCTAGGTGCTTTAAAAATGAATTACGAGAAAAATTATATTTTTATACATTTTTAACTCTTATACATTCAGTTTAAGTTAATTAAGAACAACAATTAAAAATTTTATTAAATATTAATTTCGTTTTCATCACGGTTTTCAAAATGCCTACTCATTTAAAGAACGTACTATATAAATTTATTAAGTGAATTCCATTTCCGACTGGAGTGAGTGATATTAATTGAATTTTACAAGTATGTACTGTCCTAGCTTTTACTTCATAGGAATTAAAATAGTGTAAAACGAGAAAAAATAGAGTTGACCTTATCAACTCTGTGATATCCGTACGAATTTGTTGTCCTATGTGCGAATAAATATGCCATAACTGACTATGGGACAGACTATATGACTTTAAGTTGCCATATTACCTTATTGATTTATGCAAAATTTCAACACTATGTGTTTTTCAAAATACTGCGTGTGCCAAACTACTACTGAAGCTGTATGGCAGCTACCAGAAAGAGCCAAGGAATTTTAAGGAATTTTATTAAACACATCGGCCCTACTAATATGTTCGTTTGCATGAAATTTTAATGCCACAGATTTTATAGTTTCTGATATATAGCCAAATAAATTTTGAAGTTGTATGGCAGCTACCAGAACCGGTACCCCGATCATGTCCAATTTAAATAGAATTCTGCCACTTACTACAATAAATCATTTGTGAAAATTTGGTAAACTTAGCTCAATTAGTTTTTGAGTTATCGTTGGGACGGACGGACGGACGGACAGACAGAGCTCAGAATTCGACGCTGATCAAAAACATACACTTGAGTCTATATCTAAGACCGTTATTTCTTAGCGTTACAAACGGTAAGGCAAATTTAGTATACCCTTCGAATAAACGTTCGTACGGGTATAAATAGAAGTACATTTTTTATTTGTTAACCTAAGTGGTAAGCAATACGTTAACCGAGAAATATGCAAGCAATAATAATTCTATAATAATTTCTTCCTAAACAGTAAGAAAAATTTTTGGAAATTTGTCGAAAATCCGTTTTGTAAAAATTTAAATCCCGGTTTTTTTATTTCAGATCTACTTAAGATCGTATTAATTGCAGGGAATCAACCAAATGATGTACGAATTTGCTTGCAGTTGAATAAAAATACATTATGATCAATTTTAATATTTTTCACTTCAGAGAAGCTCGAGAATTAAAATATTTTAATTTTCCAAATAAATTTTGTAGGATACAATTTTGTTCTCCTATACATCTTATACAATATATATAAATATAAATACAATATAGCTGTGTATTTTTTAAATACACGACTATTTTCAATAATAAGGATTAATTTTAATTGGAAAAAGTATTAAATTTTAGCAAGTAATAAAATAAAAGGAATACAATAAAATTTATCTGATAAGTCTAGGAAAATTCGGATTAAAATCACATGTTTCTATATTATTTTTAAATATAAATCATTTTGGAATTGTGGAATTTATAAGACATATAAATCATTTTTTTATCAATAATTGTGTCCATATAATATTTTGTATAATAAATTTTAATTTTTTTATATTCTATGAAATAAAGGACTATTAATCATTTATAAAAACAAATTAATATATGTAAGGAAAGCATACTGATTAGAATGTCAAGTTTATTTATTAGAAATAACTAACTAGTTCTAATAATCTAAACATTTTATTTTTGAATCTCATGGATTCGCAGAAAGTAAGTGCACATTTTAAAATATTAATTTTTTAAACAAAACCGCAATGTGAAATGCAAATCATTCAATAGTAATATAACTTTTTCCTGATTGAGACAATATTGTATGAATCTAAAAAGATTCACAGACCGAAGTTATACATTACATTAAATACATGCTATTTAAATAGAGAATTTAGATTGTGCTTATTTCTGAGTACCAAGCAACCATGTCAAAAAATCCGCTCAAGATTTATTTCCATGGTAAATTTAAATAACTTATACAGATCGACAGCACACACCTTTTCTAGCACAACAAACCAGCGTCATTATTTCTGGGTTAAATATTACTAGCTTAACCCACAAATAATGATGTAGATATAAAATTTATTTTGTCACTTTTAAAGTAATTTAGATATTAAACCTATAATTTATTAAATGTATTTATTCTACATGGTCATATTATATGGTATATTTGTTGAAATTATGTTATTTTCTCTGTTTCACAGAAGTATAATTTGATTTTAATATTCAAAGTATAAATTTAGTAAAGAACGAATTTAAAAATAAGCTATAGTACGTACATGTTTATTAAAATAATTACTATGTAAGACAATACTTTTCTTCTATAAAGGATGATTGATTATAAATTTATAATAAATTTGACTTAAAACGGTAACAGTAAAAATATAAAAATGATATAAACGCGTAAATAAAATTTTCTTAAATTAAAAAATATTAGTATATTAATTAAGTCTTAAAATAAGGAAACAATATAATCAATTTATATAAAAATAGGCCCATCGCACACATTCACACAGAATAAAAATACAAATTTTTTAAGCTTACGAGTATTCATTAATTTTAATAATAAAAATTACTTTTTTCCCCAAAATATTTTTATTCATAGCATTTACTTGCATCGAATTTTATTTTTTTCTACGAAATAATTACAATTATTTATTTTACTCTTTTTAATGTTGAGTAATTATGATTTTAATGTATAATAAAATGAGTCGATTATAAAGAGACGTTTATAAATTATATTGATAATAATTAATAAGTAATTCGAATATATGCAAGAGGGAGAAATTAAAAATTGAAGAGTAAAGTTTCTATTTTTGAAAATTAACAATAAATTATTTGATATTATTGATAGAGAGAATTAATCATCAATGTCATAATTATCATACTTTTAAGAGAGAGAATCTTACGAGTATACCGTAGATTTTGAATGTTTAGTTGCTTAAATAAATGCATGGGTTTAAAAACTCTTTCTCTTTATTTTTAATAATGTTAAAAATAAAATTAAGAAATTTCAAATTTACTTTATTTTTCTGTTGCAAAATAATTTCAAAATTTTGCTCATAAATTTGATTTTTTAAAATTTTTTGTATTAAAAACTATTATTACTAAAAATAATTTTCTCGAAATGTTTTATAAATAAGCATGAAATAGAACAAATAAGGGGTCTAAAATAAAAATAAATTAAAGCCTACACAATCTAATAATTTTTAAATCTTACAACTGAAAATTAATTATAACAGGAAAAAAATCATTATTAACTGAATTTAAAAGCATAATTCGATTTTTTTTTAAATTCTTAATTTAATTAAGAAAATTTTGAAAAATTTTCATAATTAATTAAAATTTTGCATTTTTTTACATACATTAATATTTCTGCCCTACATATTTTAAAAAATTATGTTAAGTACACACCGAAATGCATTATTTTTCTTTGTATTCGTATATATTGTATATATATTTTACGAAAAGTAGGACATGATCCTTTTTTTTTTAAAAAAAAACTTTTTTCTCTTTGTTTTAATTCAAACTTTAAATATAAGAACGAAAATTGTATATAAGTATATTTTCAATTTGTACATAAAATACATATTTTTATGTACATACTAGTCATTATTGTAAAATATCCAATTTTCTTTTCGTAAATTTTGAAAATAAAATGTCTTAGCAATTTATTTTGAAAATTTAATATAAAAATTTACAGCATAAATGTATAAGTCCGTTACGAAAGCATTGAGAAATAAGGAGTAGAACTATACTTATATTAAGAATTTCATTTGTACATAATTAAATTAAATAATAAGAACATGACTTGTTAAATAAATTTTATGTATATATAATTATTGTATGGTATAAATATGTAAGAATATAAAAATTTAGGCAGAAATATAATCTTCTATAATTTATCTCTGATAAAAAGTACATTATGTATACAATATAAATTAAAATTGTAAGCTGGTTGTATATAAACAACTAAATGTCCTAAATATTATTAAAGTTCATAGTTTATATATACAAAATATCGATACCTCAGAGTAACAGTGTGGTATCCCAAGAAATGCAATTTTGTTATTAATCATAAAAAAGCTGTTTTGTCTTTCCAATTTACCTTTACATCATATTTTTGTAGTGAATATCGTAAATGAATATTTTTTTTATAAATTTCCGATTTTCACGAATTTAGCAATATTAAAATGATTTTATTAATTAAAACTTACTAAATATAACTAATAATAATAAAATCCTAGACAGAATTAAAACTATGTATATTTATCCTTTTCCTAAAGTCTATGATATCTGAAAAAATTTCAAAATTTTTCATGATTATCGCACTGTTGCTTTGTGGTATAGAATATTAATTCTCAAGTGAAATAAATTAAAGCAATAATTTAATATTATAAAATTTCAATAAGAAAAAATATAAATATAAATAATTTACCTTTTATTTTAAATTTTTATTAAAAAAATTCTCAAAAAAAATTTGTTTTTTCTTTTCGTTCAAAGAAAATTTTGTAAAGTTTTCGTCTTATTGAATCTTGTATGTTTTGTTTAAGAAATAGAATATCACCTTTATTTTTTTTGGTTTCTTCTTATATAGTATATTATTTTATATATGTATATATTTATGTATAAATTCAAAAAATCATTATTATATAGTAAAATTTTTTGTTTATATACACATGTAAATTATACATGTATACGCATTATGTAAGTAAATAAAACTTCCTCTTTGGTAATAAAGATATTTTGTAATATTTTTGGAAAAAAAAAATTTTTCTTGTTTTTTTTTTTTATATAAAGTTATTATACAAAATTTTATTTATAAGCACATTTATATTCATATATTTATATACGTTTTTATATTCAAGCATTTGAGTATATTTAATGTACACTTATTATATTTACAATATACACTCTGTTTGCGTGTTTATATTTGTTTCTTTTGTGTTTTTTGTTTTATAAATATCCTGATTATATTTTATATATATATATGAACAATCATATAGCTATATCCTTTTATATATTAAAATTATATTATTAAATTATTGTAAAAATTTTCGTAGTTTTTTATTTTATTGTTGTTTTTTTTTATATTACTTAGAAAAACTCTTTGATATTTAATTTCTATATTTGTGATTTTGTTAAAAGTAAAAATAAAAATATTAAAATGATAGTGTATGTTTGTAGTATGTGAATAGTATAACAATAATAATAGGTATAACAATAAGGATATCTTATTATTATTGTTATACAATGTCTAATTTTAAAATTGTGTGTTATTAAACACGAGATATGTGAATATTAAAATAGAGTTAAAGGATTTTATTTTTAGTACCGGCGCAACAATCACACTTTAATTTTTTTCTTTTTGCCTCATCTAACATTTAAAAAAAAAATTTTTACGAAATTTTCTTTTATTTTTAGTTGCTTGAATTCAAAACGTAAATATGTTTTTTTTATTTTATGTTTTTATATTTTTTTACAAGAATTTTTTTTTCGCAAAAAAAAAAATTTCAAGTTCAAGGTATTTACGAAAATTAAAAAAAAAAGGGAAAATAAATATTTTTTCTAGTGTTGATTTTTTCGTATTTATTTTACTTAATTATTGTCAAATAAAATAATATCAAAAATTTAGAACAATTTCAAAAAAAATTTTAATTAAAAATTATTTACTTTTTTTTTTCTTTTATAAATTTTTAAATAAGTTTTTTAATTTATAAATTAAAAATTAAAAAAAAATTTTTTTTTTAATTTTCTTTTGTTGTCTTGTTGTTGTCTTACACTTAAATTTTACTTTATTATATTTTTTGTTTTATTTTAGAAATACAATAATAAAAAAAACACTTATCGGGAAAATACGAAACACGAAACGAGATCCATCCGGTTCAATATTAAAGCTTTAACTGACCCAATCCAATTTTAGTTATCTAGACTATTGCAAAGAAAATAATAATAAAAATAATAATAAAGAAAATGAAAATATACCAAGAGCAAGAATATGTATCTATATTATTGTATATAAATGTAAATAATACATATGTATATATATTTACAAATACAAGAGGTAATTAAATGAATATACAAGAATATTTTAGTATATACATACGAGTACATACATTTTATATAAAAAAATTCTCTTTCTAGCTCCTACAGTCCTTTCTATCCTATTCCTATCTTCAATATATACAACCTATACCCTAAAATTTTTTGAATATGTATGCATGTATATAATACATAAAATAATAATAATCATCATCATCAACATCTCTATTTTCCATATATGTATACATACACGCTTTTAAATAGAAAACATATATAAATTTACATATAAGCATTTGTGTATTAACAATATACGACTACGTCTTTTGTTTTCATATCATTAAAAATAAAAAATTACATTGCTATAAATGCTTATACATAATATTATTATATTATATAAGTTACACACATTATATTTGTATGTCATAATATAAATGTATGTAACAACATTGAATATAAACAAACCAAAAATAAGAAGAAAACCAAAACAAAAAATTTTTTTTTGTATTTATAAAGCTCAATCCCGACCCGACCAAACAAAAAAAAATCTTTTATTTTCTCTCTTTTCTCCTCTCTATATACTCATGACTGTACACACAAAAACAACAACAACAGCAAAAAATTGTAATATGCTTCAAATAATCTACTTTTTTTTTTACACTTTATTTAAAACGTACGAAAAAATTCTCGGCGAAAAAGAATTTTTTTTTTTCTTCTGTTTTTAATTTTTTGTTTGTATCTTTTTGGTTTTTTTGTTGTTGCATTTTTTTTGTTATTATATTAAATCTTATATTAAATGAAAAGTTGGAAAAACTGTTATAACATAAAAAGCAAAAAGAAAGTGGCATAAAAAAATAAGTTGAATAAAAACGAGAGCGAAATTTTATTACGAAGAAAAAAAAAATTAAAAGAAAGAAAAAAATTTACAAAATAAAAACAACCACCAAACTTGCAACCACTTTGTTTAGAATGAATGAGAAAACAGGAACACAATATACAAACTATAGGGTACAGGAAAGTAAGAGTTTTAGCACTGAGTATATTATAATTGTTAGAAGTCATTCGGATTCGACTCTGATTATTACTCTAAAATTATTCGTGAAAAATGCAAGTGGAAATGATTTTATTAGTTTGGACTGTTTAAAAAAGGTGATTAAATTAGCGTCAGACGTAGATGGAAACAATTATTTGCAAAAAATCTTTCAAGTTCAAAAACTTGGTAATGAAAACTCTAATTTGGACTTGGGTATTTTTACCTTATTCGCCATAAAACGGTATATTTTACAGTGATCTCACTAATATTAGAGTTGTAATATTTATATATAAATCAATAGAATTGATTTTATGAAACTTTAAATTTGGGCTGAAAACACCAAGCAAAATACCAAAATATCGATGCCTGTGTTCTTTTTTATTTGTTTTTAATTTTACTGCGGTTAAATTTAAAACAACAAAATAGTAATTCAATATTATAAAATAAATTTGAAAAAAATCAATGATTTTTGAGGTAGCACATTTTTCTGGGATAAGACGAAATATTTTTTTACAAAACACTCTTCAAATTAAATTGTTTTTATAATATTAAATTAAGGAATAAAAATTGCATACTTTTTGGGGCAGAATAAAATTAGAAGCCTCAACTATTTTCTTATTTTAAAAGGCGATCATGCAAATATCCGTGGCGTTTCTACAAAATAACCCGTTAATCAGTTGCAACTTAATGTTAAGATTTTTTTTTTTTAAAACTTAAGGTTTTAGGAATTACAAGAGTTACAAAATTTTTCAAAGGGTTGAAGGCAAATGAAAATTTATACTTCTACAGAAAAAACTTTCTTGCCAAAATTAGTTTGTATACAAAATTTCAGCTTTCTATTTTAGTTTTATAAAGAGACGCACGAGTAGATGGTCACAGTAAAATTAATAAACACATTTTTTTCCAATTTTATTGAAAGTGTGTTAAAAATATTAAATCATACAAAGTTAATTAAATTTCACACATTTTTACATACGTGTACATAATTTAAAATTTTTCTTTTTTCGATAGAAACCCGACTAGCTATTGTTATGATATTGAGAAAAAATTTAACAGAATATTGTAAACTCTATTATTATAGAAATTATGGAAACAAAGGAAATATAAAAGTATACGCTCACATGTTAAAAAAAACTTTTGGTAGAAACAAAAGATTCTCTTTTTTCTCTGTAATATGCTTAAATAAAAAGACTTTTCTCTTTTGTTTAACTTTCTTTTTTCTATACCTACGAGTATTATTCTATTTTAACTCTTATTGTGTTCTTGTATAAGTGTATTCAATAATTTTGAAAAAGACTTAATTTTATAAATCATTCTTGCAATTATTAGCAATTTTTCATATTATAAATTGATAGTAATAATTTTCTTTGTTCTCTTCATATAAATAATTATTTGTCTCGATATACATTAAATGTGTTATACTTATGTGTCATACAAGTATCTTATTATAATAAACTTCTGCGGTGGTTTAGTTTGAGAACAAAAGAAATTAAAAAAAAGAAAAAACCAAAATTGTCTTCTTGAATTTTTGCTTTTTTATTTAAAAAAATAAACATAAAAAATAATTCATATTTGGTTACGTCATTACAATTTAAAATTTTAGAGTTCATAACAAAGTAATAAAGAAAAGTTATTACAATTTATTTTGTAGGAATTTAAAACCATAAACCAGCGTTCTAAATCCAATTTCACAGTTAAAAGATGAGTAGTCGAATATTTAAGATAGCAATAATTGACATTTGTTTTTAATTAAGAACCTAAAAAATTAATTTGGTACTACCACATTTATACCACAAATGTATTAAACACATGTTTTAAAAAATAGAATTAAACTTTTATTTAGACCGATTAACGCGAATACATGCACACACTATCTATAACAGGTTTATATTTCAATAAAAACGTATTTACTGTTTATTACCCAATTATTCTTTCATAAAAGTTGGTGTTAGCAGCTTTAATTTAATCATTTATTCAAGGGGAAGTATTTTCTCGTACTCTAAGACGAACAGAAGGCGAACGAAGTAACTGTAGTAATATTTTGTTCATTAATTTTCAACAAATTTGGTTCGTATACAATCAAATATTATAATAAATGTATGGTGAATATTGATATGTGAAATAGTGTTTTCACACGCATAACATCGATTTTTTTTATGGTTTCATTTGAAAAGTCCAGAGGGAGTATAGTGGATCATGTTTACACTCATGTCTACAAAATTTTGAATTATATGTACGTCTATTAATTTTCAATTAATGTTGACATTCAATTTGTTTTTTACAATAAAGAAAATTTTTAATTCTTCGATATAGCTAATTTGCAAATATTTTCAATTTTCAAAATTACAAAGAAGTGTTTTTTAATAGAATTAACTTTAATTGAACCTTATTTATGTAATTTTTCATTGGCGGCAAAATTTTTTTAACTCTAATAATTCAGCTCTCAAATTTGGAGACAGCTAACTGAAAAAGCCTTGACGGTAGTTTCATTTGTTTTTTTATCATGCCTTCTACTTTGAAAACGTCTAAATTTTTTAAAGCTGTAGAGAAGGTGCCTCAGAAGACCTATTGATCTGAGAGGATATTCGTTTGAAAGGTTTCTATAGCAACTCAAATCCTATTGGATGTGTGTAGCAGGCATAAAAGGCGGGAAGAGGGTG